TCTCTGGATCTGCTTCCTGAGCCTCAATTAATGAAAAGATCTCAAATATTTCCTTTGAATTATCCTCTCCATTAAAGGAAAGTTTCAGCTAGTCTAACATTTGCCTACGATACTACTTTGACTTCTGGCACTGGAATTTGTTTAGCCATTATTCTAGTCACCAGGCATGATGGAAATATACCTACAACCTGTTCTTGCAACTGTTCCTGTTTCTATAACCTCACTCAGAGCAAACCTATAACCTTCACTCCAACCAAATCAGGTGTAAGTCTTTAACTACTCCTACTATCTCTGGTCTAACCAACAAGTCATACCCGGAATGCACTTTGCACAGTGGAATCTGTAGACACTCTCCACTTATGGTGTTTCTTAACATTTTGGCTTTCAATGAGCTTTCTCTGAAGGAAGAACTAAACCCATCTGCAGTGAAAGAGGTTGCGTAGTTCTATTGTCCGTTAACGTAGTTATGTGTTGAGCTGCATTGTTTGAGGACAAAAGGATTATCTTTCCTCTTGACAAAAAAGCCCGTTATTTCTTGTCCACCTTATTCACTTCCCCTGTATTTACAGCAGTGTTTTCCTCTGGTCTCTTCGTCATAGCTAAAACCACAATTTAATCCGCAACGTTTCCTATGTAAGTTCTATTTTCAGACTCACTGTCATCAACCCAAATGTGAGTTTTTCTCACAACTTCCAGCATTCTGAACAAATGTGTCTCATTTTATTACAAGTGAAACACTTCAGCTTTCACCCATAATCCTCAGCATTTCCCTTTCTACTCTGTGGCGCATTCCCAGATGTCCATTCCTTACATTGGCTACTTGCCTCCATTTCACCCTCCTGCTTTCAATCTATTTTAAATTTGTGAGGGTGATGGAAAAAATGGTTTAGTTTTATGAATCAGCTCATAATGGTCAGCCGTTACTGCTGCCTGTCTAGCAGTTGCAATCCAATGGTCTTCTAAAGGGTTCTTATCACAAAAGGTAGTGAATTTTGAAATTCTTCTGGGAAAATGCTATCGCCGAGAATGCCATTGGTGGTTCCTGCTCCTAATGCTTATACGCACATACTGAAATTACTTTGCTTAATCCTTTCAAATTCCATAAAAGTCATGTTTGTTAAAGGTCAGTCATCTCAGCTCCATGACATCTCTGCAGGAGTTCCTCAGGGCCCAACCATCTTCAGCTGCTTCATCAATGACCTCCCCTCCATCATAAGATCAGAAGTGGGGATGTTTGGCGATGATTGCACAATGTTCAGCACCACTCGCAACTCCTCAGATACTGATGCAGTCCATGTTCAAATGCAACGAAATCTGGGCAATATCCAGGCTTGGGCTGACAAGTGGTAAGTAACATGTAACATTTGTGCCACACAAATGCCAGGCTAAGCACCATCACCAATAAGAGACAATCTAACCACGGCCCCTTGACATTCAATGGCGTTACCATCACTGAATCCCCCACTATCAACAACCTGGGAGTTATCATTGATCAGAAACTCATCTGGACTCAATAAGTAAATACAGTGGCTACAAGAGCAGGTCAGAGGCTAGAAATACTGTGGCAAGTAACACACCTCCTGAGTCCCCAAAGCCTGTCCACCATCTCCAAGGCTCAAGTCAGGAGTGTGACGGAATACTTCCCACTTGCCTGGATGAGTGCAGCTCTAACAACATTCAAGAAGTTTGACACCATCCAGGTCAAAGCAGCCTGCTTGATTGGCACCACATCCACAAGCAGCAACTCCTTCCATCACCCATGCTCAGTAGCAGAAGTGTGTTCTATCTACAACATGCACCGCAGAAATTCACCAAAAATCCTCAGACAGCACCTTCCAAACCTGCGACCACCTCCAACTAGGAGGACAAGGACAACAGATTTTTTGAAACACCACCAACTTCAAGTTCCCCTCCAAGCCACTCACCATCCCGGCTTGCAAATATATTGCAATTCCATCACTGTCGCTAGGTCAAAATTCTGGAATTCCCTCTCTAATGGCATTGTGAGTCAACCCACAGCAGGTGGACTGCAGCGGTTCAAGAAGGCAGCTCACCATCACCTTCTCAAGGGCAACTAGGGATGGGCAAGAAATGGTGGGCCCAGCCAGTGACGCCCACAATCCACAAATGCATGTAAAAGAAAACCTAGGCTGTTGACCTAAATTTCAAAACTTTTGCCTGTATGCCTCAGGAACGTAAACATCTGCTCCTGGAATGGCTGTTTTATTTATTATCATAATCCTCAGAAACCTTGTCTGACAGGGAAACATAAATTTCCTTGAACTTGCTCAGCATGGGCATTGTCCACTTTTCCTTTGGCCAGCTCATTTAGCTTGTTATTTTCTCAAATTAACTGAAGAATATCTCTTCATCTTTCTTCTCAAATTTTGGCAAGGTTTTGCATTAAAAAATTTCCTAACAACGTCAGATTAGGCCAAGGGTTTTCCCCGTCAAAACCCTCTTTGTTTTGGGCTCTTAACTGTACTAATTTTAGTTTATGCTCTTTTCCTTTCCCTTGACAATTCAATTTCTAGACTTCTTGTTTCCATTTCCTGTATTTCTAAAGTAAGTTCCAATGCTCTTTCCTCCCGTCTCTCTGCTTTTTTAAGCTTCTTCATTCATCCCGTTTGCTTAACCTGCATTAACTGTAGCTCAATATCAACTGTATCTGGTATCTCACTATTTGCAATATCCGGTCTCTCCCCTATTTCTTATTAAACCCAAATGCTGTTCTAAAACTTCAATTATTTCTACTTTCCTAGCTCTGACAGGAAATGTGCTTTCCAGATAACTTGCCAATTGAAACAACCTGACTTTCAGGATCTTGTATAAGTTCATGAGAAACATCTCTTCCACTTGCAGAAAAGGTCTTCACAATTCCGCTACACATTTATCTTTTAATCCAGCAACTCCTACAGCCATTGAAGCTTTTTGCCAAAGTCTGGTCCCAGAATAAGTCTTGTTCACTGAATCTAGTGAACGGTAGTTCAGTGTTCTGAAGAAGAGTCATACTGGAATTGAAACATTATCCTTGCTTCTCTCTCCACAGATGCTGCCAGACCTGCTGAGTTTCTCCTGCATTCTTTGTGGTTTCTTCCTCATTTATAGCATCCACAGTATTGTTCTTTCATTCTCATAGTATTGTGTTTGTCATTAAAGAGCACACAACATATTAAATGGCTGAGGATGCTGTATCCCTGTTGGACGTGATGGCCATTTTGTTTGTGTTTTTGTTCAAGAGCAGGAACTTATTGACTAATGCAGCATTTTCTGTTTTCCTATCTCCATTATACCAGAGAATGAGACAATGCTGAAGAAATATCAAGAAGCCCTTTTCTCGAAAAGAATCTAATAAACCAGTGCAGATCCATAAATTTGTGTATAATTGAGGAAAAAGAGCAGTCAGAGGATACTGAGGTGATGAGAAAGAATTTACACAAGAGGTGTTATTTACTGATGTTTGTTCTTGTACACATTACACTGTGATGAGGCGTGAACCAGTGAATAAACATAGCTGTTTCTGTCAAACTAACTAGAGCACAAACTTTAGAAAACAATTTTCAAATTAACTGGTTAACATTTAGTGCTTTTTAGCCAATCTCAGCCACTACCTATTCAATAATTGTAAACTGAATTTAAAATCTTTGTTCTCACTTATAAATTCTTTCAAGAAACCATCCCACCTCTGTGATTTTCTGCATCCCATTATCACTTCCTAACTGCTTTGACTGGCTGTTTCAGCTGTAGGCAAAATTTTCGACTGCCTCAGTTCTTTCACACACCCTTCCTTCATCCCTCGCCCATTACAGCACCCTCTGACTTTTTAAAACTGCCTCCTCTCTTACTTCCGGTGCTGACACTCAGTGCAGTGAAGTCTTCCTCACTTGGCATGCATGTAGGATGGGTAGTGCAGATTAATCAAAACGTTAATCATGAGAAGTTGCATTATTCTTGACCTGAGACAAAATACAGCTCTGTCTTTGAGGGGTGGAGGGTAGACAAAGTAGCAAGGAAGATGACGGTCCCAGTGCAGTAGGTGCCGCAGTAAAAGCCACACAATTGAAGAGCAGGCCAAAATCACAACCTCCAGATAGGTTTTTAAAAGCAATTGTACTGTCAGCTTTACTGATAATTGCTCTGAGCATGAATCTTTGCCCAGGCACAACAACCAAGACAGCAATTCAATAATTCAAACGCATAGCACAAGAGCAACTTCTGCAGACTTATAAACTACCATTGTGTTGTCAGTTTTCTTTAAAAAAATGCATTATCTGAACACGGAAGGCATTCAATTTTTTTTTAAATCGAGCTGTCAGATATTGCTGAAGAATTCTGGTGGTACACTGCTGGGTAACACAAAGCTTACAGCATCGTCTTGTGCTCTGTACAGCAGTCAGATGACAAAGCTAGCCATTGTTACTGTGAGTGAATTAAACTGCTAATTAAAAACGAAAAGGATTGCCATTTTCTTCCTACTCAGACTATCACAAAATCGGCAGCAAAACTTTAAAACGGTGGTAGGGGCTGTGAGCAACAAGTGGCTTGCGAATTAGAAAAGAAGCAAACTCGGCAGATGCTGAAAATATGAAATAAGGGCAGGAAATGCTCGAAATTTTTTGCAGGTTAGGCATCATTGGTAGAAAGAGGAACAGAATTAACGGGAAGTATTTTCATCCTCCAGGCAGTGAATGTGAGTCAGGGAAATTCCTGGCTTTCCACATCCACTTCAAAATTGTCACCTTACGGTGCTCGGAATTCCGGTATCTTTGGGAAAATCGGGAAATATTGGTAATTTGTCAAGAGCCGCGCTCAAAGTGATACAGGGAGTTCAAAGCATTTGCTCCATATTTTCATCATTCTGTTTAAGAGATAGAAAGCTGGGACAATGCAGCCACCTTTAAATGCCAATGATAAAGGGCTTCTATGCACAGTGACATCCTTTAATTTCTTTCTCTCTCCCTGAGGCACTACAAAAGCAAAGAAAGGAGCGTGTCCCTTACATTTTGATTTGTGTACCAATAGAGTGAAGCTTCTTTCAGAATAAACCAATATTTCTTCCATTTCTGAGTGAAGTATCCTTTGGCATCTTTCTTCTTCCACAGCCAGCCTTCACAGTCTCCATGTCCTAAGTCCTTGCAGGAAATACGCCTCCTGCTGCCACCAGTTAGAGAACCTGAGGGGGAGAAGCAGAAATTAAAGCACAACTAGAAGGAATGTCTCGGATATCCCTTCAATGCCTGCATTCATCCAGCAGTAACATCACTGAGGGACTAATGGAGCGCTGCCTAACCTCTCTTTGCTTGCCGTGTAAATTCTAGTGGGCTTGACAAATGCCGCTCGTCACGGAGTGCTCTGAGATGACAACTGGAGCCAACCCACGTTTGACTGACCTGCGCCACAGAATTAAAGAGTCACAGCATTGTTACAATGCAGACAGAGGCCATTTGGCCCATCATGCTTTTTGAGCATTTTGTTCGAGTGCCCTTTCTCCTGCTCCGTAACTCTGCACCTTGTTTTGATTTAAATAATCATCCTTGTACGAATGCCTCATTTCAACCTACCTCCACCACACTTCCAGGCATTACAATTCCATCCTTGAACCACTCACTGTGTGAAGGAGAAATGCTCACCTCGCATTTCACAATACAACTTCAATCAGTGCCCTATGTTTCTCAATCCTTTTATGGGCAGCGGGGTTAGGGTCAAACTGATCGCAACATTCACTCACCATTTGAATAGGCGAGCAAGGTAAAGATGGGCAGCTGGTCAATGTATGAAGATATGTTTAATGGGATGTTGTACAGGCCAGAAATTAGGTTGGCGAATACTTAAAATGCAAAAGAAAAGTCACAGAAAAAAAGAACATTCAAGCACATTAAGCATTCATCACGAATCTCAGCAACAAACCTTTCAAGGCAAATGTTGTTTCAGTTTATTAGGCTTGCTGGTTCTGCTCTCTGATGGTAAATTAAAGCTATTATTCCAGTATAACTCTTCTCTATATTTCTTCAGAAATGGTTGGAGTAAATGATAAACACATTCCAATAAGTGGCAATCCTTAAAAGGGATAATGTGGCCTAGCAAAACCTACAAAAAGTTAATGGAACAACATTCAGGATTGAAATAAATGAGCTCACAGGCAGTAAACTGGAGCAGACTTCAGATTCAAACATGGCTGCTGTGGAGCAGAGTTCTACATTTTGATGTTTACTGTCTGTATTTGTTGTTCCTTTCACATATCCCCATGAAATTTCATTGATTTTTGCACATTTAGAAGGTGATAATGAATTTTGGCTTGGAGAAAAAAGAGAAAGAAAATGAAATGTGATAATTCCCTCCACACAAGTAATTAATTCTCATATGGATGTCAATAGTAATATGGTCACTAAAAAAATGCAAGTAGACAAATACGAAAATCGATTAAAAAGGCAATGGGCACATCAGGATTTATTTCAAGTGGAGGCAGTTATGCTTCAGTTGTGTACATCTTTGATCAGACAGCATGTGAAAGGCTGCATTTAGTTTGAAATCATCTCAGGAGAAGGTGTGACATGATTTCACCTGAATTAAGTTGGGGATTTCAAGGGTAGAATTATGAGGTAAAATTGCATCAACGTTGCTTGTATTCCCTTGAGTGTAGGCAATTGAGGAGTGGTCTGATTGAGGGTTTATTAAATTGTTAGAACACCTTAATGGAGTAGATCCATGGAGAAGTGATCTCCCCCAGTGGTAATCAAGAACCAGGGGACACAAATCGGAAAATAGCCAATCAGGGGCAAGGTCAGAAAGTAATTTTTCACACAAAGGGTAGGAGAAATTTTGAATTAAGTGGCTCAAAAGGCTGTGGACACAGGTTCAATTGCAGCTTTACAAGACAGCAATCACCAGGCTGATGCTTTGTTTTAAGAATTTTCACTGCCCTTGGGAGAACACTGGATTATTTTGTATGAATGAAAATCAGTTTAACTTCTAGTCTGCTGTATGACCGCTAAATATTGCGCAGTGGGACTAGCTATTGGCTGCCATGACTACTTAATCGGCAAATGTTGTACAGAATGGACTGTGACTCAGGGTGGGGAAACAGAGCTCATTCATAAGGTTGGCATGATTGAAGTGGTGGGCTTGTCAGTAGGTTTTATAGATGAGCTAGTTTGCAGTATCATTGCACTGATTATTCCAGACAACAAGGTGCTCATCCGGATGCACACACCAGGCC